GGGTAGGAGAGATTTTTCTTATTTACAAGTTTCTTTCTCGACAATGTTTTTTTTAAATGTATGTTTTCTTTGTAATGTTCGCTTTGGATCCACAAGTCACTCACTCAATCGCAAAGAGTTAAAGAGACTCTAACAGAGAAACTAAATAATAATTTCTATAACACAGATATATCTATTACGTGTTTCATCGTTGTTAAATAAGGTGCTTGTCAAAATAATAAGATCAAATAAACCGACACATTTCTGTTGGGCAAGTTTTAATTTCTGCTGGGCAAGTTTTATCGATCCTCCCCCCCCCCCCCATTTTTGGACATAAAAAATTACCCCAAAATACCAAAACAACCCAATAACAACAGCATACCCCCTTCCCCTCAAATAACACAAATTCTGTCTGGATTTTATTGTAAAAAGATTGATAAAAGGTAAAGAAAATAATTATAAGTTTGCATTTTTCAAGGAAACCTAAATTTTGAAAGTCACCAAACTTTGGCGGCTATTTTCTCACTAGTTTTACTCTGAAACCAGTCAACCCCCACCTCCTTCTGTCGCGCATAAATATTATATCGACTTCTAATCACGATCGATAAGTACTTTTTTCATTAACAGCAATATAATATATGAGATTATACCAATAACTTCATAATGTCCCAAAACTGACGAACGCCTAATTCCACCATGTAGTGAAATAAATGTCCATACCTAAGACTACACAAACAATAATACAAGTGACCAAAGAAGACGGTAGTATACGGGATGGAAAAGGTCCTGGAAGAACATAACATATCTATGACAGACGCGACACACCTTGCACAGGACCGAAACCTGCACCTCCCCCTCGACATTCTAAGTATACCAGAAGAAGGAAAAAGTAAAGTAAAACAAGTGAAGAATATTAGCAGTGTAAAGAACGCTGAGATGAACAGAATGATTTGTTTTAAGCTATAGGTTTATCAAGGAAAAACAATCCATCAATCAATGCCTATCACGCCTGGCAGGGTATAGGCCATATACAGGCTCCTTCTATTTATTTCTGTCTTGGGCCATCCTTTTTAGCTCGTTCCAAGTGAGCTTCATCTCTCTCATGTCCCTTTCCACTGCCTCGTGCTCTCTTTGAGTTCCACTGCAGCGACTGTCTTATGATGTTTCCACTGGGCTTTCTTAAGGTGTGTCCCATCAATCGTCACTTTATTACCCCTCGTTCTACTTCTATATCCTCTTATCCTGTCCTTTCCCACAGCTCTTCTTTTCTTATTCTATCCTGCCACTTAATTCTTAGGATACTCCTCATAGATCTATATCTATCAAGGAAAGTGTAAAACATTAATCGCTACTTGTGTGTGTGTGTGTGTGTGTGTGTGTGTCTGTGTGTGTGTATGT